AGGAGACAGTTCCATATGATTTGCAGCTCATGACAGAACCATATGGCGTCCCTAGCATGGTGGAGATATTTCATTTCTTGTGCTCTTTACTAAATGCTGTTGAGAATGTGGGAATGGACCCACACTCAAATACACTAGCATTTGATGAAGACGTGCCACTTTTTGCCTTGGGCTTAATTAATTCTGCCATAGAATTGGGCGGGCCTTCCTTCCGCCATCACCCAAGACTATTGAGCTTGATTCAGGATGAATTATTTCGTAATCTGATGCAATTTGGGTTGTCAATGAGTCCACTTATTCTTTCAATGGTATGTTGTATTGTTCTAAATCTTTATCATCATCTCCGTACAGAACTCAAACTACAGCTTGAAGCTTTCTTTTCCTGTGTAATTCTGAGGCTTGCACAAGGCAAATATGGAGCTTCGTATCAGCAGCAGGAGGTGGCCATGGAAGCTCTAGTTGATTTCTGTAGGCAAAAAACATTTATGGTGGAGATGTATGCTAATTTAGATTGTGATATAACTTGCCACAGTGTGTTTGAAGACCTTGCTAATTTGTTGTCAAAGAGTGCATTCCCTGTTAACTGCCCTTTGTCTGCAATGCACATTCTTGCCCTGGATGGTTTAATTGCTGTTATCCAAGGAATGGCTGAGAGGATTGGGAATGGTTTAGCTAGTTCAGAGCAAGCCCCAGTTATTCTTGAGGAATATTTGCCATTCTGGATGGTGAAGTGTGATAACTATGCTGATCCAGTTCATTGGGTTCCATTTGTCAGGCGGAGAAAATACATCAAAAGAAAGTTGATGATTGGAGCTGATCACTTCAACCGTGACCCAAAAAAAGGGTTAGAGTTCCTCCAAGGAACACATCTTTTGCCTGACAAACTTGACCCCCAAAGTGTGGCTTGCTTTTTCAGGTACACTGCTGGATTAGATAAAAATCTTGTAGGGGATTTCCTGGGAAATCATGATGAGTTTTGTGTTCAGGTTCTTCATGAATTTGCTGGGACATTTGATTTCCAAGATATGAATCTGGATACTGCTCTAAGACTGTTCCTGGAAACTTTTCGATTGCCTGGAGAATCACAAAAGATACAGAGGGTGCTGGAAGCATTCTCTGAAAGGTACTATGAGCAATCCCCACAGATTCTAGCTAACAAGGATGCTGCTTTGTTATTATCATATTCACTTATAATGCTCAACACTGACCAGCACAATGTCCAAGTAAAGAAAAAGATGACAGAGGAGGATTTCATCCGGAATAATCGGCATATAAATGGAGGCAGCGATCTACCTCGAGAATTTCTGTCGGAATTATACCACTCAATATGCAAGAATGAGATCCGCACAACTCCAGAGCAAGGCTTTGGTTATCCCGAAATGACCCCATGTCGGTGGATAGACCTGATGCATAAGTCTAAGAAAATTGCACCGTTCGTTATAGCTGATTCTAGAGCATACCTTGACCATGATATGTTTGCAATAATGTCTGGTCCAACAATTGCTGCTATCTCTGTTGTATTTGATCATGCTGAACATGAATATGTTTACCAGACCTGTATTGATGGATTCTTCGCTGTTGCTAAGATTTCTGCTTGCCATCATCTTGAAGATGTACTGGATGACCTAGTTGTGTCTCTCTGCAAATTTACCACCCTTTTGAATCCATCATCTGTTGAGGAACCAGTGTTGGCTTTTGGTGATGACACCAAAGCAAGAATGGCAACTGTAACTGTTTTTACTATTGTAAATAGATATGGTGATTATATTCGCACAGGTTGGAGGAATATACTGGATTGCATCTTACGACTGCACAAGTTGGGTCTTCTTCCAGCTCGTGTAGCCAGTGATGCAGCTGATGAGACAGAACTCTCTGCAGACCCTGGTCATGGAAAGCCAATTACAAATTCTTTGTCTTCAGCTCACTTACAGTCCATAGGTACCCCCAGGAGATCCTCTGGATTGATGGGACGGTTCAGTCAGCTTTTATCTCTTGATACAGAGGAGCCAAGATCACAGCCCACTGAGCAACAACTTGCTGCTCATCAACGCACCCTTCAGACAATTCAAAAATGCCACATTGACAGCATATTTACTGAGAGCAAATTTTTGCAAGCTGAATCTTTGTTGCAGCTAGCACGAGCCCTAATTTGGGCTGCAGGGCGGCCCCAGAAAGGAAGCAGCTCACCTGAGAATGAAGATACTGCCGTTTTCTGCCTGGAGTTGCTTATTGCTATTACCCTGAATAACCGTGATAGGATTGTGCTTCTATGGCAGGGTGTCTATGAGCACATAGCTAATATTGTTCAATCAACTGTTATGCCTTGTGCCCTTGTTGAGAAGGCTGTTTTTGGGCTTCTTAGAATTTGTCAAAGGCTGCTTCCTTACAAAGAGAACCTGGCTGATGAACTCTTGAGGTCCCTGCAGCTTGTTTTGAAGCTTGATGCTCGAGTGGCTGATGCATACTGTGAGCAGATCACACAGGAAGTAAGTCGCCTAGTGAAGGCAAATGCTACCCATATCAGATCGCAAATGGGGTGGCGAACAATAACATCTTTACTTTCCATCACAGCCCGACATCCAGAAGCATCTCTAGCCGGTTTTGAAGCGCTTTTATTTATTATGTCTGATGGGGTTCACTTACTCCCAGCCAATTATGTTCTCTGCATAGATGCTGTGAGGCAGTTTGCTGAGTCTCGTGTTGGACAGGCAGAGCGATCTATACGTGCACTGGATCTTATGGCCGGTTCTGTTGATCGTTTGGCAAGGTGGACCCATGAGGCTAAGGAATCAATGGGAGAGGAGGATGTTGGCAAGATGTTTCAGGATATCAGTGATTTATGGTGGAGGCTTGTGCAGGGACTCAGAAAAGTTTGTTTGGACCAGAGAGAAGATGTCAGAAACCATGCTCTTCTATCATTGCAGAAGTGCTTGACTGGAGTGGATTACATCCACATTTCTCATGGTTTATGGTTGCAGTGTTTTGATCTTGTAATCTTCACAATGCTCGATGACTTGCTTGAAATTGCTCAAGGACACCAAAAAGACTACCGCAACATGGAAGGCACACTTATTCTTGCCACAAAGGTCCTTTCCAAAGTGTTCTTACAGTTACTCCATGAGCTCTCACAGTTAACTACATTCTGCAAACTGTGGCTTGGTGTGCTCAGCCGAAAGGAAAAATATATGAAAGTAAAAGTCCGAGGTAAAAAAGTGAGAAGCTTCAGGAGCTAGTGCTCGAGGTTCTTAAGAACATCTTGCTTGTAATGAAGGCAAAGGGAGTACTCATGCAGAGAAGTGCACTAGGTGGAGATAGCTTGTGGGAACTGACATGGCTGCATGTGAATAACATTGCTCCATCTTTACTGTCAGAGGTTTTCCCTGTTCAGGATGCAGAGCTCAAGCATGGTGAAACTGCTAATGTAGTGTCCGGTGAAACAGTTTCTGTTCCTTTAAATGAAACATCCACCTCTGAAGGGGCTGGTGCAGGAAGTTAACGGTTGGATGCTTGAGAAGGGTTTGTCATTGTAGTTACACGCACAATATGTTACTCTTTTTCAAGGTGATCCTTATTGACGCGTTAGGTTATGCTGCTGCTAAGATTCCGCAAATCCTAGTACTGTTTAGAGGTATTGGATGCAAAATGGTACAAGGGATTGAGCCTTAGAAATGTGGATAAGTTGTCGACTTATAGTTGCTTGTTATTTTAGATTTGGCAAGTGTGATTACTGTCTCCACGGAGCCTTGCCAAAATGTTGTTTTAAAATTGGTATTCCTTAGAAATTTTACTTAGTCTGCATATGGCTTTTTGCAGTGAGAAGGATTCATCCAGTTTGTTTCGACTAGCCAGTCCTTGGGATGTTATCCTTGTATTGCTTATTATCATCGATGTATAGAAGCATAGGATTAGAAGAGTTTACTTGAAATGTCAATGAACCATCTCACTTGTGCGTTGTCACTGAAAATGCTTTGTTCATAGATCAAAATTGAGCTCTTCAACTGGACATGACTGTATCAACTGCTGCTGTCGGACCTTAATGCAATTTTTATGACTGTAATTGAGTTTTTCAATTAAAAAGGTCCGACATAAACATAATATAGGTAGGTAGGTATCTATGAACCTCTAAAATCTATTATCTTCGCAGAGAAAAAAAGATACCCTTTCAATGACATACTTGGATTCGGATGAGTGTTGAACATAGATATGTATGACACGAATATATCCATCTCTTTTTGTTTGTCCACGAGGGTTTCTTCTGTTGGAATGGTGCTTGATGGTACAGGTTTCTGCGAGCAGAGAGAAAGATGGTCGATGTCGGTGGAGAATCAAACCCAAGAACTATCCTTGAGACAGAACAGAAGAGCTCAGTGTTTCTATTTCTTCAAGGTTTTGCATCAACAGCGCCAGACTCTCCTAGGCTACACGCCAATAACAAGTTTTTTTTTCTTTTCTGATTAAACTGCTTGCGTATTGATCATTCAGCTCAACTTCTATACGACATTGTTCTTTTATCAATGAATCTTGTCACCTGTCGGGTTGTATACGACATTGCGTATGGATTACTATTTCCAAGTTTTCCCCAGCTTGATTGGGCCAAATACATTTTAAACAATATTAAAAATAAATTTATAAGATTTATTATCTCCAAATATGTTTCATCCTATTTGATCATTCATCATACACATTGTAAATTTGCTCCGGCTGTTTTATGTTTTACTATACATGACATTATTACAAGAGATGAATCGCAGTTCCAAGATTCTTGGATTCGAGCCTTAGATTATGCTTGGTCTGTCCCAACACCTTTTGTTGGCACATTCGTCAGAGGTTCACAAAATCCAACTTCTCATTCCCCTCTTCTGTCCAGTTTACACATTTCTTCACGGCAGCTAAAGTTCTCATCTTTGACGTCTTTGAATCCCACCAATTACTCTGAAAACCCTCTTACAGAGAAGACCAAGCTCTGCTGAAACAAACCCAGAGCTTGAAAAGAAAAACCCATGGATTCCCTGTCGTCGGTCTCTCCATCTATAGTTCTACCTCCGACCAACCCTTTACCGGCGCAGCAGCGGCGGCGTCCTCAAGTTGCTGCCTTTCCCTTCGCAACGAATAAACGTCAACCTCGCTTGTCGTCTTTCTTTAGCTTGCCTTGTTCTAAAGGGGGACCCGATCGAGTTGTTGATTGTAAATGCAAATTCAACGGTGGGGATGCAAGAGAAGAAGATGATGAAGATGTTGAGAAAGAGGAGGTTGAAAAAGCGCTTCATTTGGACGGTACGATTCCATATACTTCCGGCGAGTTTCTGAAGCGGGTTTCGTCTCGAGCGTATAACATGCGGAGGCATTTGCAGCAAACTTTTGACAGTAGCAGTTATGATGGTAAAAGTTCTGCAGATCTTGGGTATTTTTGATGCATTTTCCATTCTCTTTAGCTTACCATGCTTATCTATCTTACTTGTTTGCTTCTGATTTGAGCTGTATCTTGAAGATTTTAGAACTTAGAAATGGCAACTTTAATAGCAGGATAATGGTATGAAGTATGTTTGACCATCATCCACTCGTACTCATCCGGATATGTATTTGACATGAGTTCAAGGAAAAATTGGGGCAACATAATATCGGCCCTTCATCTATGAGTACGAGTTTCTTATGTACTTGGTGTTCAATACATGAACGTGTATATTCTCTTGTAGATAATGTTATGAAGTATGTTTGACCATTCCAGGATATCGTAGGAATAACCCACAAATATTTGTATGAATTAATTCTAAGACGTCTGTAGATCTATCGGCATCTAATCTCTTAGTTGTGATCTGTTTTCTCTTGATACAATCAACACATACATTAAAGTCTATAAAATCAAGGGACCCCAAAATACCATTAGACATTAAACGTTCTACTCTACCTTTTGAGATCTCACGTAGGCGCTTATGCCTTTATATTGTGGTGTTACGTAATAATTTTAGTCTGTAAAAGTCGTAATACAATTCTCTTATTGCGTTGCACCAATGTTGTGTCACGATAACTTCTAAAACCGTTACGTTGTGTTGTGACCGCAACCTAACAATTTCTTTTATAATATTAACATAGTTTATCAACACTTGATGATCTGGAAATGAAAATATCTAGAGACCAAAGGTGTAATTAGTTTATGAAAGTTTTAGTTTTAAACTTTTTGGATATAAAGAAATGACTAAATGTATTTTACTCTTAATTTTTTTTATTAAATTAAGGCTTAATATAAAATTAAGTGTTCGACTTATATCATTTTTTTCTATTTAGGTGTCTAAAATATTTTTTGAACAATCCAGGTGTCTAATGTTATAAATGTTACCATTTTAGGTGTCTTGACAATAATGGCCATTAAGAAATTTCGTTAAGGGACACGTATCACGTTCTGATAATTTTAAAAAATTTATTTTTAAAAAAACTTAAAAATATGTTATTATGTTTAAAAAAGCCACCAGTATAAATTTCATTAAAAACAATTACTTACTATATAATATTATTGTGTTATATAATAAATAATACCACCAAATATTAATGAACAACATATAAGCAATCCAATATTAAAAAAACATATAAATGTTGTCATATTTTATATACAGAATTATACTTTTTTTTAAATTAATCAAATTAATTTTAATTCGGCTAATAATTTCAAAGTTTAATTCGATGTAATATTAATTGATTGTTTTTAATTTGAATTAAACTTTTTTTTTTTAAAATTATTAGCCGAATCGAGAAAAGTTTGGTTAATTCAGGTGAATTAAATAGATACATTTTTTATTTGGATTAAAATTTAATTATGTATTGATAATTTAGTGAGTCTAGTATGTTAGAAAATAATTGAGTCTTAATTCTTAATAGATTTGAGCTTGAAATATGTATTTAATATATATTTATATATAATATTTAATATTTAATATTTTCAGTTAATTAATCAATTTCAAACTAAAGTAATCATTAATTAAATATTAAAAAATTAATTGTTTCTCGATTGAATTAATTTGGTGACTAACCGTTTAATTGAATCAATTCAACTCGATATGTTAATTCGATTAAAACTAAAAAATAAATACCCTTACATAATATAAGATTATGATAATTAATTGATAGAATAAAAGATTATTTAAAAACACATTTTACTAAATAGAGACTGATAATTTTTTTAACAAGTTTAACCTTCAATATTAAAATTAAAGAGATTAATATGAATGTTTTATATAATTATTTGTATTATAAACATATTATTAATACAATCCATATTAAAATAATATTAAAAATTATAGATATTATTAAATATGATTTGACACAAACACTATATTTATTAAATATATTTGAGACAAACATTGTATCCTGAGCTAACATTTTTTTTTATATGTTATTTTAAAGGAAAACATAATAAGATTTAGCAACAAAAGTTAGTTGACCTTATTCCCATATGTAATGGGGTGAGGGGAGGTAAGGTAGTAAGCTGACCCCAACGGGTTGAGAGCAGCTTCCGTAGAAGACCTCCGGCAATCAGAATTATGAATTGCCTACCGTGGGACTCAATCCCACGACCACAAGATTAAGAGCCTTGTGTTCTACCAACTGAGTTAGACGAACATTCTAAGTTTTAGCAACAAATTTATTAATAATATCTATTATAGATAATATCTCATAACTTAAGATATAAGATGTTATTTTGGTCTATATAAAAACGAGTATTTAAATTAAAAAATATAAGAATTTATTATATATTTGTTTAATTTGGGATCGAATTAAAGAATAATAATTTAATATTTTTAAGTTTTTTTGTTTAATAATAATTTAGGTCATCATAAGTTTAAATATTAGACAAATTAAACATTGTCTTCTGAATTTTGATTTTTTTTTATTAATATGAGATAAGTACAAGACAATATATATTCAAAGATAACTCTCAATCTTTTGACATTGAACGCTCACACCCCTGACATTCCTAGTGCTTGAACTTGGGACCTTAAGGAATAATAACAATTCATTTACTGCCGAGGTCGCATGGTTCATGTAAAAGACACGAAAAAAATTTCATTGTTGCTAATATTTTGAGTTTAAATACTTAATAAGTCATTGTATTTTTTAGCACATATCAATATTTAGTCATGGCATCGTCCCTGCATATCAAGTGATCTTAGTGGTAAAACGAAAGATTTTCTTTAAATATTTTGTGTTTAAATAGTTACGTCTATAAGGTGTGTACACGTTGTTATTAAATTAAAAGAATTATGGATAGACAATAACTTATAATCACCAAATTTTTAAAAAAGATGTGATGAATCTGGTGATGTTATCTTTTATAACTTAAGACATAAGATTTGATAATCGATTGAATGATTTGTTTATAATTTTTTTTAAAGTTTTATTCAATTATTTTATTTTTAAACATAAGTTGTGGGGATGTTACTCCTATATTTTCAAACAAGGCTCACTTTCGATAATATTTTTGTCATAGGATTTTGTTTAAAAAATAAAAAATTGAATATTGTTTTAGAAATTATAAATAAATCATTCAATTAATTGATTATCATTAATAAATTATTATATTATTAAAATAAAATAAAAGTTAATTTTTTAATTATAATCATATCATTTTGTTTAACAATTATAATAATCAAATCGCTTGATTCAACGATTGTAACTAAGAATTAACATTAGTTACACACTTAATTAAATCTAATGACACCTTAATAATCTGTTTGAAATAATCAATTAATTAAGTGATTTATTTGTACCAAATTAAAATCTAATGACATCTTAATAATCTTACTAATAATTGAGTTATTAGTGACACAGTTCACCCTTTTAATTGATTATATATGTTTGTAAACTTTGTTTTATAGAAAGAATAATGTTGTGTTTATCGATGCACATAAAAAGGGAGACTTTTTATCGAAGGACCAATAGAGTTGGTAAGGCACGCGCCACGAAAGCACGTCAGTTCGTCTGCCCGACCGCAACGGGAAACTGTGGTAAAGCCGGAAGAAAAGATGGAAGCTTTGGCCTTTGGAATTTGGATGATAACTGTGGTCTGTGCCCTGTGGACACGGATAGATGAATCTGTAGTATGGCGTCAAGTGGCGCGTGCGAAGCACAACCTCAATAAAATCTGTTTCTTTTTCGATTTCTCATTTTTAGCACTCTCCCCACTCTCTCTGAAACGAAAATAATGGTGGGAGGGTTTTAACAGAAGTCGAGGGGTGATTTAGTCAATTGGTTTCCATGTTCATCTGAAGAAAATCAAGAGTGTGAGCTTTGAGAGGAAAAATGAAATTTTCCTGAGAAAGTTTTCAAAAGATCAAATCTTTACCAAGAAAAAAAGAAGGGAAAGAGAAGTTGGGTTTAAGCGGAACATCCATTTGCCTTTAAAGGAAGAAGAAAGAAACTCAAACACCACCACCAACCAACCAAACAACGGTTTTAAGATCTCTTCGTTTCTTAATGGTAGTTGAAGTTTTGTTTTGGATTATGTTCATTTGGATAATTTCGCAGGTTGCTTTTGTTGGAAAATTGCTGGTTGGGATCTCAGGATCAAACCCAGATCTTGTTACCTTTCGATCTGACTTTGTGCTTTTGTTAACATTTGGAAGCTGAGGAAAAGTTAGAGCCAAAGGGGAAAACAGGTAAATATAGTTTACCCTTCCCTTTTTTAAAAGTAATTTAGCCATTTTCAGCCGAATCTCATGGTTTCAATGGCGATAAAATTGAGTACTTTTCGTTTTTCGTTTTAGGGATATGGTTTCTTTTGTTTTTTGTTTTTGTCTAAAAGTGATGCATGCTTTATCGTATGTTTGCTAATTGGGAATCGTCTGGACTTGTTTTCTGTGTTTGTAGATGTTTTTGGACGTTATAAGTGTGGTTGATGTTGTTGTTAGAAGGGAACAATGACGTTTCTCTGTTGGAATTGAGTCATATAACTCTTCTGAATGAAGATGGAGTTCTATATTTATGGGTGGATCGACTGGTTTTGCTCGACGATGTTGCATCTGCTTTGAAGGGTTTTCTATTCTTATCGAGCTTTTAAGTGCACAAGAAGCGATTCTCCTGTGTAAGCTACGATGATCAAACAGATACTTAATAGGTTCCCAAGGAAACCGTCTAGGTCAAGTGACAATCGTGAGGGAGGAGGAACCTCTACTTTGTCATCGAATGCTTCTACCAGTTCAAGAAGCAGTGATCTAGCAAGTAACTGCTATGCAAACTCGAGCGGTTCGACCTTTTCCGGATTTAATTCGACTCCAAATTTGGGGTTGAACCAAGGCAACAACTTTTCTCAAGCGGTGAATGCGAAGCTGAACGGGAACATGGTCGCTGCTTCTTTTGAGGCGTTGCCTAGTTTTAGGGATGTTCCGAATTCTGATAAGCAAAACTTGTTTATCCGAAAGCT